CAGGTTCATCCCCACCAGCTCGTCGTTTGTGTAAAAACAGTTTAACAAAAACGATGCCGCTGACTTATCTGACGCTCTGGCCATTGCTTGGTGAATATGGTTCTGGTACACAAAAACTTGAGAACCAGGAGTCAACTCTACCATCTGTTGGAATTAAGAAGAAAAAACAGCCATGTTATTTTTATGATAGCAATTTTATATAGACATACACACCTGAACAGCCTGTATAATAATTCCACATGTTCTGCCGCATGTCACATTTCAAATGCTCAAAAGACATTGACAACTTTGACACATAACAAGGGCGTGTAAAGAAAGTCAGCTTACAGTTTACCCTTTGGGCAAGTTGTGGCTTGCAGGGACTAGCCCAAGGAAATGCCCCACAAAAGTAAAAAAAAAAAAAGGGCAAGGAAAGCAAGAGGTGAGGACGAGGGAAAGTGAAAAAAACAGTCGTGGAGGCAGTGAACTTTTTACCTGATGCCTGAACTTCAATGCTAAAATTTAGCATCAGAAACTATCAGCATTGTACTTGAATTGTTAGTATGTCTTTCGGGTAGTTCACATCTACATTGTAGATCCTTTTCAGCCTGGTAAGAACCAGAAAAGGTCTTAAATGGCTCGAAAGAGTGGTTTTCTGCTGCATATTATCTGGGAGCAAATGGGTTAAACTGTAAGCCTGACTAGGTCTAGTAGGGTCGAACCTCTTGCAAACATCAAATTAGCCATTGACGACTACATGATTTGCACAAAAACTTTACACTGATTTGTCTACAATAGCATGCACATTCTGTGATTAAAATGGTGAATGAAGTGCTTACCTTAAAGCGTTCTGCTAGAATGGGACTGATCTTTCCAGGTCTTGGAGGATCAGAAACTTAAAAATAATGATAGGAATGACTATAGTTATTAACAAGATCGAAAGTTCACCTTGCATGTAATTATATAGTTTTGTTAGGTTATAATAGTTACGAATAAATACTGCATATTTAACCGAGTTCATTTATTTTTCTGGTACTCAATGATCAATTATCTCCTTCATAAAAATTAAGAACCTACTTAGCCTAAATTGGCAATACGTACCCCAAAATACATGAACCTATTTTGCCAGACTTCAAAAAAGTAGGTTCTTATATGCAGGTGTTTTATACTGTAATTAGTGGACAAAGACCAGACAGTGGATCGATCGATCCACCACCAAAACAGGGTGCCCCCAAGCAGACTAACTGGATTATGTGCATCCCTTTTTCTAATACCCCTTATTTCTTTTATTCACAACAAGACTGCTTGTTTTCTTTTAACTCTCATTCTTTAATTTTCAGGGATTATCACATAAACTTCCTCATACATACCTTGACCTTGCAAGCTCTTTAATTGATCTTCAAGTTCCCTCACTCTCTTTTTGCGTGTTACGCATGATGGACAATACTCTTCTTCATCTGAACTTGAGAGCGGCTGTGGTAGAACTCGTCTGGGGCATTTACCACCCACAGTTGGTCTGGCTACTAAGTCTTGTCTTCTGTTTGGAAAATTTCTGGGTGTGTTTGTCAGTGGGGTTCTTTGTGCTCCTGAAATGGTGGCTTCTTTCTGTTGATTTGGTATTGACAGTGGCACTTCTGTTAATCTGCCACGCAGAGTTGTCAGAGGAGATCTTGACACTGGTGTGGTGGAATTTGGCATCTGCTGAACTGGTGTTGTGGATACTGGTTCTTCCCACATCCTGCAGTGTGGTCAGAGAGGTTCTCTGCAGTGATGGAATTGCTGTCTGACAAATAGATGGTGTGGTTGGTGGGTCCTCTGAATTGCCCTGCAGCATGTCCAGTGTCTTTTGAAGCTGTGAGATTGACAACACTCTTTCTGGTGTGGCACTCCGTAACTCATTTACTGTGTTCTGAAGACGATGAACAGGATTTGATGGTGGTGTTGATGAAGTTGTGAGATCCACACACTCTGAGACAACATCGGAATCAAAGGGATCTTCTGCACTTTGATTACTCACCAAAGCAGTCATCCTTTCTAGCAACATGTTATTTCGCTCAGTAAGGGCCTGCCGTTCCTTTTCTCTTTGCTTATTTGCCTGCTCCTTTTCAATTCGCTTTCGCTCCTTTTCTGCTGCATCATCATGATCTTTTCGGGCATTTTTCTTCCTATTTTGACTTTCACTGTCATTTTCTTTGCTTCCTCCAGCTTTCTTTCTGCCCTCAGAGGGTCTTTTTTTTTTGGAAGGTTCATCATCTTTAAGAAATAACAGGATAAAATAATAATGTATAAGAAAAAGGTCTGAATAATTGAGTCTCCCAAAAACAATGAATTTGTAGTAGCTGTAACAAAATACAGCCAAAGCCTGTTTATGACAGTCACCCTTGGGAAATGGCCAGGTAACCATTATACAGGTCCACTACACAGACAATATACGGCTAAATTAATATTTGGGAACCTGTCCGGTGACCGTAATACACAGGGTGACCGCTATATACAGGGCGGTTATACAGGTTAAATGTTTTTAGAACTTTGATAATTATTATTTTATTATCTACCTCTGTAAATTGAAATTTAAGGGAACAAGGAGCAACCACCTTCAATAATGTCCTCAGTGACTAGTTTTTATAACACTTACATGTGTTTCCTTTTTCTCGTTGACTTTAAACTTTTATATGCTGTTAATGTAAAATAACAGCTTACTGTACCTTGACTGGTTTCATATCCATCAAGTCGTTTATTCTTTGTTCTCTTTCTCTGCTTCTTACTGGGGGATGAATTCTGTTCACAGTTTGAACTGTTTTCTTCTGTTCCAGAATTTCCAAGCTCCTTGTCTAAAACACTTCTAGCATCACTCATACTGTCTGAAAAAGGCCAGTTAATAAAAAAAGGGTTAGGACTCTTTTTTGTGTGAGAAAGAACGATTTCTTTACCCCTCTTAGCAGTCATTCATGCAGAGGCAAAATAACAGTCATCACTTTACAACTGTAAATGTATATTTATTATCATTATCAGTAAGTTTTTTTTCTTATGTGGTCCAGAGTTCTGACAGATGCACAAGTACATGCTCATGACAGCTTAAATCACTTGAACTATTAGTCTTACCATGGAGAGAGAGAATTTTTCCCCTCCAAATTTCTCCATCATATTGCATTTCAGCAATGGCCCCAGCTCTTACACTTTCCTTGACAGCTAACTTCTTCACAATAATCGCTTCCAATTCACTTCTTCCATTTGGTCGATTCCATTCAACTACTGCAAAGCCATTTGGTTTCACCTACAAGGGGTAGTTAAAAAAAGTTATGAAAGTATTCTAGCACAATGTAAACAAATTTGCTCTTTCGATGTCAGAGAAAAGCACACACATTTAATAGTTTTGGTAATCTGAGACACCAGTCGTGGGTCCCATTTTTTTGTTTGGAATCATGAATAACAAAAACCTGAGCCTGAAGCTCACAGGAATATGTGCACATGTATGGGAAACTACCTTCCCGGTTAGTTACTTTTGATCCAAGAAATACAAGAAATGGCGGCCCGGTCTCCGTTCACAGTCCCTGTTACCCATGCCGGCAGTCAAGGTAATACAGCGTTGATGCTTGTTAATTTCAAACATGTTTAAAAGGGGCACAAAAATTTTAGAACACTCACCAAAGTCATTATTTCAAGGAACTGTACTACTTCGACGCAATCGTCAGGGATATATAAGGGTATATATTTTGGTTAACGTTCGCAATATCAATTTTGCCCTCGCCGAGAACGATTAACAAGTAGTAAAAAGTTGTGAGTTAGTTATACTAAAGAAAGTTAGTTATTAATCGGTGACAGAAACACATGAGCGGTTGTTCAATCAGGCGTTACTTATAGTTTCTGTTGGTGACCAGTGGTGAATATATCAAAGCCTTTTCATAAAAAGACTGAAATCAATGACAAAATTGAAATGCGAGTCATGAACGTGGAAGAACATATTTGCAGAAATTATAAATCACTGAGGTTAAAAGAAAACGACAGGAACCATGGATGTCAAGATTCAAATGATCACGCTTCTACTCCCGATGCTGTGAAAGTCATATCGGGTCGTGATCGACTTGTGACAAGCCGGTCGACTGCGAGAAAGCCAGTAAAAAGTCTAAAACGTTTCAGTTCGTCCTCTGTTAGTATTTTTCCCTTTAAATATCCTTAACTACAGGACGCTCTTTTAGAATTAAAAATGACTACTGAAAATTAATAATTTCTCAAGTCTTTTTACACTGGAAGCTTATAAGCTTAAGTATTTATTGGGGTTTACCTCGGTGTAAAAACCTGTGAAACTCACGAGTGACGTAAAACAATGAATACAAAGGAGCCACTGAGAAGTCAACACAATAGAGCCAAGGAAAACAATAGCTAGAAAACAAAGAAAAACTTTACAGGTTTTTACACCGAGGATGAGCATTTATTGTCGCGTTCTTATTTGAAATGCACTAGCTGAGCCCGATCGAGTTGTATCAGTTCCAGTTCGCAGACACAAAGATAAAATGAATTTTACGCTGCGAATGTATCAAAGAAGTTCTAAGAGAACAATTCCCTGGCTTGAACGCTGCATTCGACCTGAATGAAGAAGGTAAACTTTTACCATTTTTTTCTCACCGATTTAAGTAGAACCGTTGAGCTTACCTATCACCATAATTGCTATTAAAAACGAACTAAAACGTGACCTGATTAGGGTTTTTCAGGTTTTTATACAGTTTAATGTACTCACCATTTTCCTGGATACTGGATTGCCCGAAAAGGGGAAGCGACAATAAACGTTCAGTCGAAAAAGAGTCTGATGAACCAAGCAATTCACGTTTCACAGCTACTGAAGTTTCGCGCCAAGATCTAACACATACACCGACAAACGTGCCGCAAAAATCCCGCCAAAAGGAAAACAAACAGACGCCGACGTATTGAGCATGCGTAATATCTGCCTGGGTCGATCGGCTTTTATACGAACACAACATGGCGACTGGAAATGCAAAAGAAACACGTAACTCTAGAAGTTGTGAAAAAGAAGAGGTACTTACCTGTCTTATCTGTCACATCCGTCGTTGAAAGTTCCCAGAACGTCAGAGTATCGCCAGAAACTAGCTAAAACTTATGATAGAGAAACGAATGCGGTATCTTGTAGCGACACTGTTGAACATTTTGAGTCAGAGTTCCTGGACTACTCATATGCATCTCAGGGGATCGAAGAATACTCTCTGGAAGACCGTAATAATGTTGATTTGTTGAAAGAAGATGGTCGGCCAGCTGAGGTAGAAAATGACAGAGAAGGCCGCCCAACTAGAGACTCCATCGCTGATGAAATGTTAAAGGGGCTCCTGAACAACACGGCAGTTGAGCAAGACAGCTGTGATGAAATTTCGCAAGTTTTTCCTGAAGATCCAGCGCTTGATACAACGTACGGATCTAGCGAGTTTCATGAGGATTTGAACGAGCAAGATAATGACGTGGATGAACTTTCGGAAGCGGAAGATAGGAATGAAAGCAGCACTCAAGATGACTACGTGAAAATTACTGAGCTATCCTTATCACAAGACACCCCTTTATACGAGGGGTCCCCGTTACTTTTTCAGTTAGCTTGCTGCTGATTATTAGCTTCGCCATAAGGCATAATTTGAGCGGACTGGCTTTGGCTGACCTTTTGACGTTAATTAACATTCATCTTGTTGTACCCAACTGCTTTGCTAAATCGACAGCTGTTCTCAACCGATTCTTTCGAAAGCTTAAGAAGCCTATCGAGTACCACTATTATTGTTGTTGCTGTTTTGAGTACATTGGGCTTACAAAGACCTCCTGCTGTTCTAACAAGTATTGTCTGGTAGATTTTTCCAAAAAGGTGCACTGGCCTACTTCATTGTCCTACCCTTAGTCACACAGCTTCAGTCATTGCTGTCAAGTAAGTAGATTATCTGCTAAGGTATAGATCATTCCTTTGGTATCAGGTCACTTCCTTCCAAGTCAGTTCGTTCTAAGTAGATGTCCCACCTGTTACTAAATGATACTAAATAACAAAGAATTTCTCATTATCTTTATCCACTACCATGTTAAGTATCCCCTGTCACTAAATAATGCCCCACATCAAAGGATTTCTCGTTCTTTTGGGTTTACCTTGGTGTAAGAATCGTGCACTTTTTCTTTTCTTTGTACTTCATGTTTTCCCAGGCTCTTTTGATGGAATGAAGTGACTGTAAGGGCCTCCACTGACTAGAAATTTAGTTGTCGACAACGTTTTTGTTTTCGACAACTAAATGTTATCAACAACAAAAAAAACGCAGTGTGTAAGACGGGTTGTTGACAACTAAATGCTAAATTTTGCTGTTGTTGACAACTTAAACATTGTCATTGTCGCAAAAAAAAAAAAAAAAACGTTTTTGACAACTAAATATCTAGTCTGTAGAGGCCTTAAAGCATTCACTCAATACATGTATTTTAACCATTCATCAAACTGAAACAATGTTACATATGTAACTGGTTGTTATCACTTGTTAATGCATTGACAGTTAACATTAGCAGTTCGTGATCAATAATAGGAAAAAATTCCAAGATTTAAATGAAAAGATTTTTTGCAGTCTTGTTACATGTACATGTATTCAGGAAATATTATCATTTGCCTCAGTCAAACAGAACCTCTGTGTGAAATTTATTTTCTCACTCTTATGTATTGTTTTCAAATATTTGTTTTGTTTCTTAGGGCCAGAAGTACCTGATTTTCTGCAGTATCGTGTCACAAGACAAAAACAAAACTCAGATGCCATTGAAGATATCTTTGATGGACAACTGTATAAGAAGCACTTTGGGAGGACGGATTTTTTAGGGGTTCATCCACACAGGACAAAAAGACACAGATCCATTTGTCCCTGCAAATAAACACGGATGGAGTTGCAATTTTAGGTCTTCAAAATTTTCCATATGGCGGTTTATTTTATTGTCAACTAATTGCCTCCAAATTGCAGGTATGTAATAAAAGCTTGAATTTTTACCCTTGATTAAACATGTGCTGTAAGCGTTTTAAACAGCTTCAAACCTCCTCCCCCCCAGCCGAGTATTTCATTTCTATAGTATTGCTAAATAATATATAATTTCTCTTTTTTTTTTTTGAAGTATTGATTAAAGAATGTCAAACCAAAGTAACCAAAATAACAATGGTTGTAAAGTATAGTCATGTAAATAAATTAATTGTGGAACTGAAGTACACAGTTTAAGCATCTACTTGCCTTCATGATGCCACTACCAAAGAGAAAATTCCACAGTTAATAACCAATAAGAGAAAAGAAATTGTGAGAGAAGAGTATCACTTAATCTAACTGCAACACATCATAATGAGCACTGATAATTTGCAGAATTGCTAACTAGTAAGAATTGTTTGTAACTCATTCTTTGCTTGGTAACTGACCTATCTTGAAATGGACGCTTTTTTTTTTTTCTCATTAAAAAAAACATATTCACATTTTTTTTTTTGTTAAAAACTTCATTCTTTCCCTTTATTTTCTGTCCCTACAGGCAGCAGAGAAAGTACCGCATGTTTGCTGGGCTTTGGTTCGGTGTCTCCAAGCCACATTTCCAAACATTTATGCAGCCATTCGCAAACTCACTAAATGATTTATTCTTCAAAGGTAAGGTTTATGTTTTTAAAATCAGTCCCATTTTTTGTATTACCTTAAAGCATGCATTTATCTGCTACATTCTAATGTACATATATGCACACTGTAGTCACAGCTACTCTCTAGTATACTATTAGTTCAGAATGTTCATAATAAATACATTGTACAACTGTTGCTGTTTGACATAATTATTACTCCCGAACTATATATAATTTACAAAGGGGACAAAGGAAATTGAGTCACTATAGAGTGACTCACCGGACAACTTCCCTAAAACTTTGCTTTATATTTTCTGTAAAGGTGACCTGTATATAGTGGTCACCTGTTAGTGTGCGTAACGGATGCAGTCACCCTTTAGACTTAGATGCTATTCATTAACTTCCAGTAGAGTTTAAAGAGAACCTGTATATAACGGCCACTTGGCCATTTCCCAAGGGTGACCGTTATACACAGGTTTAACTTACAACTCTGACTAAAGGAGATTTGGCATAATACATGTAGATACAAATGTGTGCTTTAAATTATTGAAAATTATTTTCAATCATTATTTAGCAGCTACATGTATGTATGAATTTCAAAATGCTTTGATGTGTTATCTGTTATCAATTAACTTTGAAGTCTATAGAAATTCTGCTGCCCTCATTTCTACCCTATGGGTCAACATCTGAATAGTCAGGATTTTTTTTTGCTCCTTTTTATAGGGATTGATGTAAAGCTGAATGGCAAGAACATGTTGCTTCGCTGTATTTTACTCTTAGGGACATTTGATGCCCCAGCAAAGTGCCTTTTCCAAGAGTTTTGTCAATTCAATGCCTTTTATGGTTGCCCATACTGCCTGAGCCCTGGCAAAACTGTGCAGACAAGTAGCAAAGGGCACACTCATGCTTACCCATTTGATGAAGCAAATCTCAGAACTGGTCATGGGGAACCAAGAACACATGAACAGACATTAAAGTTTGCAGCTGAAGCTACCAAGGAAAGTGCTCAAAAGGGCATCCCAAGTAGTGTTAAAGGGGTTAAAGGCTATTCATGGTTTATGTTTATTCCAAAGTTTGACATCATTAGAGGAATAGCCATTGACTATATGCACAGTACATTACTTGGCGTGGTTAAGATGTTGCTTACCCTTTGGAGTGACAAGACATATAAAGCAGAGCCATGGTCTGTCTGTAAAAGAATGAAAGAAATTGAAGAGAGGTACCTAAAGATTAGTCCTCCTTCTTGCATCACGCGCCTTCCCAGAAGCCTGATAGCAAACTTTGGGCATCTCAAAGCATCTGAGTTAAGGACTTTCCTGTTGTTCTACTCTGTTCCATGTCTGTATGGTATTCTTCCAGAAGAGTACTTTCAGCACTACCTTCACCTTGTGGAAGCCATTTACCTTCTTCTCCAGGATTCTATCTCTCCGAATGACATTGTAAAGGCCTCTGCTTTAATAAAGCATTTCTGTATCAGGATAAAGGAACTTTATGCAGCCCGCTATGAAACTTTTAATGTGCACTGTTTACTTCACATGACAGAAAGAGTGAGAGATCTTGGTCCACTGTGGACTCACTCTTGTTTTTGCTTTGAAGACTTCAATGGGGAATTAAGAAGCTTATTTCATGGTACACAAAGTGTGGAAGAACAGATTGTGACAGCTGTCAGTGTGCAACAGAGAATACCTGAGTTGGTTCCTCTCCTCGAAAGTGGATCTATGGCTCAAGAACTTTATGAACACCTTTCAAGAAAGCGCCCCTTGCTTCCAAAAAGGAAAAACTTCCAGGCAACAGCAACTGCAGCATCGTGGGCAACTTACAAAATTATGTCTTTACTGCTGTTGAGCGAGCTGTAGTCGAATCCCTAATTGGGCCAGTTCAAGAAGTGTATCAGTTTTTCAGATTACTCATTGGAGAGCAACTGATTCACTCCAAGTTATACAAAAGCATGACAAGGAGAAACAACTTTACAATAGAATTTAAAGGCAACAGTGGGGATTCACCACCTTCATTTGGACAGATTTTGTTCTATTCCAAAATATATTTACATTGCCCCAACCCTTCATTTTGTGCTAACTCATGTAAATGTAGGAAGCCACTGTTTTATGCATTGGTCAAAGTTCTGAAACCTAACAAGACTTTAGCAATTGCTAATGATCCCTACACTGGTACTGCTGTTTCTCACCTGGTTCCAGTCATCAGGAGTGACAATAATTGTATCACTGCAATTCCAGTGGACAACATTATTCGATTATGCTTTTTTGTTGACTGTGGTAATGACAATACTCCCTTTGTGGGAATGTTTCCTAATCAGTACGAAAAAGACTAAAGCGTTTGAGTGGTTTTTTTGCAACTGTAAGTGCATGGTAGCACCATCAGAGCACCGTCACAGATACATGTAACATGCAAAATTATGATCCTGCAACACGAATGGGTAGGTTTCAAGTGAATTTTTGAGAGAGAAAAGAAAATGTGTGCCATTTATTAAAAGCTGCCATCTTTTCCTGTCAGGGCACGTAAACATAATTTTTTTTATTAAAACTAGCTTCTTTTAATGTTTTTATTATAGCAAAATAATGTTGTGTATCTTTCGAAATTGCATGACATTGACCCCTTAACGAAGATTGTGTATGACATATCAGTCCCAAAAATGTTGATGTTGTTGCTGAATTTCTCACAATGCTAATTCTTACATGAACAATGGACAATATTATTTTATAAGCATTGGCCAGTGAGTGATGAGTTGCAAAGAGCGAAATATATAATTTTTAAATTACTGCAGTTTTACAGATCTATTAGAGATATGTCTTGTTTGTCCAGTTCTTGTTGTTCAAACGTATTCCTTTCATCAGCATTTGGAATTTCTCAGAGATTCTCTAATCAGGTACATGTAAAACAGTATTCTAGAGTTTGTTTCACTGAAATTATTTTTGGTAACCCTTCAATTCAATCAACATATGTGTTGTTTTTCTACTTTTGTTCCTGCTTTAATTTAATTTTTCTTTTGTT